TGAAACTTGACTCATTAATCATTAGACTTAAAATTATTTCACAAGCTTCAGAACCTTGTATTCGTGCTATAGAGGGCGTCTTTGCTTAAAGCTAGGATCATGTAGCACTAGAGCCTAAAGAATATAAATAAATAGTGGGAATTCATTAATAACTTCCAGGAAAATACAATTCATAAATACTTAATCATCTCTTGTCTCATAAGATAATTTAAGGACTGATAGTTATAGCGTAGGAAAACCTTCACTATCGGTCGTTAAGCAACCTTAAACGACCTGTGCTGACTAAGGTCTTATTTAGGAATTTCTCGAAGCCGCGAAAACTGTCTTGGAAAATAAGTAACTGCATCTATTGTAGTGCAAATAAAAGTGTACCCTCCTCGAAAGTCAGGTCTGCATTTGCAGGCTTTATCATGGTTTGAATTCTCTTACCATCTATTCAATTTAGCCAATTCATCGTAACGATATGCTTAATGTGGAGGTTGTATCAACTATGCACTCACCAGGCAGTAAAGTCAGATATCATTTGTTTTGGCCAGAGAAGGCCAGCGCTGACTATCATTAGGATGTCCTAGCCAAGCTCATATTTGATCAGCGCTAGTTAAAGTATTATTATTGTGGGGAATTTAATTTCGTATGACAATGCCTGGTAGAGAGATTCATGGTTCAAACTCACCGGAAGGCAGTAGCTGATATCCATTTTTCTGTGGCCATTTGGATTTAATACGACGTTCGGGTCGACAGTCTACGTGACATCCTCCCTTGTTTCGCGCACATACTTACATCTCATTACCTCAATCAGAGTCACTTCTTGGCCTACGAAATCTCAGTCATGATTTTCCTTAGGCCATTAAATCTTGCTGATTTGAGTATGACGTTAGGCCGTTATTGCGTACTCTAACTTACACGTATAAAAATGCTAGCACACACACATACGCACTCAAAAAAGTAACCTGCTTGATATAAAATAAAACTAGCCAAATAATTATCTATATATATCTACATCTATATATTTTTATTCTCATTTATGAGTATCATAAAGGCAAGATGGCTGCAGACCAACGAGAATTTTCCCGTGAGATCGACCTACGAATCTCTCCATTATGCACATTCATATTAAATGAAAGTTTCAACAACAATGTCATCTCAAAAGATTTATTGAAAACTAGCTAGGCACCACTTATTATCCCAAGGGTCGGGAAATGCAACGATTTAGTACAACGGCAGACCTACCAACTAGTAGAAGATGTTGAGACCCAAAATTCGCTTTAGTTTGACAATACACCCTTTATATTTTTGTTATTCTAACATTACAGGTAGAATCCTTAGCATCGTCTATGGTCATAGCCAAAAGCCCTAATCGTTTTCAGATATAAGGCCTCCAGACCACTGGAATACAGTTGCAAATCCTATCCGAGCGGGATTCTCCAACAATGCTTGTAGGTGTAGGCAAAAACATGTTAATGTAAACCAACCTGGCTATAGAAACAGTCTGTGGGGAGTAGCTGGGTGGAATCCTGAAAATCTGAGCCGACAACAGATGCGTCCTTCTCAACCACAGCTGGCGAGTCCCTGCGAGAGCTTGGCCAAATATAAAGATCAAACTGTAGATTAGGTCGCCCAAAAGTGAGCATAACGGCCAGTAAAAGGTTATACTGTTCGAGGAGCTCAAGAGATTTCTGAGCTGGAACCGGTTGGTCGACAGCAATCTCAGAAATCAGCATGGAAGACTTAGAAAGAGAGGAGAAAGGGTGAGAGACAAAATATTGAAAGTAAAAGCAACACACGATACATGGAATAAGCAGATAATGTAAGGGCATCCAGAGATTTAACTAATTTACAACTATACTTTTCCTTAACTATGCTAGGCAGTCAGTTGTATCCAGAACCCCGATAAGGGATGAAATTGAAGTAACTCAAGCTGAGAGTTGAATAGATCAAGTAAATATCTCTACGTAATGAATCCTTGTTGTGAAGATGTCTTCCTAACAAGAAACCGAGTTAACTCGGGTGGTTTAAGGTGACGAAAAGATTGATAAAGGAAGGTCTCACGATGCAATTTACCTTTGCCTGTCATAGGAGATTGCGATACACAGCCGCAATTGCTGTTAAGTAACAAGGCAGATTCAACTTTTAAGGCAAGCCAGACTTCTTGAGATTCATATTTAAAGTTCTTATTCAAAAAGCAATGAAGTTTACAAACGTGTTTACTGAGTATATATGAAGGTATCCGTCGGGCTATAGGGACAGATGATTCGTCAACCAAGAAACATTGGCCAAGGATTGCTGAGGTTGCAATAAAAGTCAGGTTAATACAAGTCACAATTTATGGACAGGAGCGAAATAGCTTCGGATGCGACTGGTAAAAGAAACACTCTTATCATAAATCCTGTATTTCTATGAAATTACGACATTGTCAGTGGGATATTAGGAAAGATTGGCTTTAAAATATACATTAATCATTTCACATCACCTCTCATAATGCATGAAAATTTAGATGAAAGGAGTTAAGAAGTTGACCGTACTTGAGAACAAAGAAAAATTGCCTTAGGGCTATGATTGTCGATTTTAACGGAATAGTCTTCTGCACATCATCCATCGAAGCAAATAACTTTCATACGTAACAGGGATGGATCAGGGTCTGTGCCCAGCATGAGGATGGACTGACACTTGGAAGATACTCATTCTTTGGGCCCCATGAAGCCAGCCAACAAATACCTTCAATCAAACAAGTCATGTTAAATAAAAAGTAAAATTATAAAGGCCAGTGATGATAAAGTCAATCAAGGTCGAAATGTTAAGCATCAATGAAACCTTTTTATTTTGTGCTGCTGATAATAGTGCCCCGTTAAGTAACACATAATAGACAAAGTTCACTTGGCTTTATGTTAAGGGCACCAAGAAAATGTA